GCATAATAATAAACTTTGTTATTTTGAAAATTATCATCATCATCGTTTAAATCAATTTCAGTATTTTCTATTATTAACAAGTGACAAGTAGGTTCATTTGATTTGTTTTCACTTAAATAAAGTGAAACAATTTCATTCTTTTTACTACTTTTATCAATTCCATAAACATTAATACTCAGGTTGTTTAACTTTTTAAATTTTGGTATATCGTTCAGAGAAATGGGGAATTTAAAATCATCAAACTTTAAATCAGTATCTTTAAAGTGAGGATATGAACTTGTAAGATTCTGATTCGTTTCAGCTGGATATCGTTGTGCAATGATAGACCATAAAAAACAGTATTTATCAAAATTTTTAACATTAATCACAGCTCTTTTATCAATTATAAACTTTGGCATTCTTATAAAAGTTGAGTATCCAGCCGCAAGAGGGACATATTTATTTATATTAACACTTAAATTTATAATTTTATTTAAAGACCAACCTGACTTTTTTTGTTGAAAATCATCAATCTTAACTAGAAGCTTTTCACGTATTTTATGATCAAACCATTCGTCAAAATTTGTTGATTCTAAAATTTTTGAATTTTTAGTATTGAAATATTTAATATCTTCAATTTCCCTACCCTCTTCTAGAGCACTCAGATTTGCCGCAAGAATAACATTAACTTTCATGTTTCCCGTCTTTTTAAACGCATTTTTTAATCGAGAAATAATCATTTTCTTTGCATCACTAAAAAACTGACTATATTTTTATGTTTTAAATTTATAACTACACCTGTTCTAATTCGATTTTCAAAAGCATTCTCTAATTCTTCCCACCTGATCCATCTCTCATCCTTTTTAAATAAGCCCGTTCCTGTTCTTCTAAATTTCTTAAACTTTCTGCTCTTTGCTTTCAGTAGTCCAATAGTTGACAAAATCTTTCTTTTCTCTCCACATGACACGGATCCATTTCTTAACAATTTATTCAGCAATCTAATGTTCTTTACACTATTATTTATCCAAAAATTGAATTCCTCCGTTATAGTTTTTTTACCTAATGTTTTAAAAGCATCGTTCATAATTTTCACAAAATCTTTACAATAACTGGAGCTTTTATCAGTTTCCATAACTTTAATTGCTGTGTTTAATTTATCGAAATTTATTTTTATCACTTGAATTGAAACTTTTAGTTTTTTGCTAAAATGATTAACTCCGATCAGACTATAATTAAGCTTTTAACTTTATCAATTTCTTGTATTAATTTGTTTAATCGCACTTGAATTTCACTATGCTTTGCTAATAATATGTTTATCAGCCAACTCAAACTGAAGGAATGATTTCGTTTAGAAAAATTGCTCTCTTTATATACACAAGATACGACCTATTTGACCTTGAAGTTAATTATATAATTTGTAGAATTGAGGTATGATTAAAAGCTTATGAAAAGTACCGAAAATGTTTGTAAAAAAATTCCTTAGATAAAACTTAGTCAAAACAAAATAAATAAACCGGATATATAAGACCGGAAGCAATAAATCAAAGACATTATAAACAACAAGTAAATGGTAAAAATTCCTTAGATAAGAATCTAATCAACAAGATATCAAATTACACAAGCAAAAATTCTAGGAAGTGTGACGTCATATCCATCTCAGCATCATGGTCTGAATCGCACCCTCACCCGTGATGTCATATCCGCCTCAGCATCATGGTCTGAATCGCACCCTCCCCGTGATGTCATATCCACCTCAGAATCATGGTCTTAATATTACCCCCCCTTGTGATGTCATTTCCGGCTTAGCATCATAATCTGAATCGCACCCTTCCCCAACTGGTTTGAGTCTGGGCTAAAAGTGTCGGTAACATGTCGATGCAGGAATCTGTGAATGACGTCATTTCCGCCTAGTCATCAAGTTCTTACCCCCCCAATGGTTTGAGTCTTGGCTAAATGGTTTGAGTCTGGGGTAAAAGTGTCGGTAACATGTCGGTGCAGGAATCTGTATATAGAACGCTCCCTTTATATCTACTGGATATCTTTAGGATATCCTCAAGATGTCCTGTATAAATGTAGGATATCCAGAGAAAGTCCTCAGGATATCCTAGAATGTCCGTAGGTTATCCCTGGGATATATAAACCGCCTCTTTGTAGGATATTTTGGGTTTATCCCTAGGACGTCCGTGGGATATCATCAGGTTATCCTATGAATATCTTATGGATGTCATCAGGATATCTAGATGATATTCACAGAATATCCTAGGGATATAATAAAAATATCTCTAGAATGCTAGGGAGATTATTTCTTCAACGTTTAGAGTCAATGTGAAAAAATATTACCGTTATTTACTTATATTCTAAATATATTATAGATATTCAGAGATATTTTATTAACTTATTCAATTTAGTAGTAAAATTCTGTGCGCGCATTAATGATTTAAGAAATTACTACGAGAACAATATGCCACCTACTTTCAACAGAAAAATATTAATTTTAATTTATATTGTTCCATTTATAATAGTTATTATTTTTTTTAAAAATCTCGGTATTAAATTAAATTGTTTATTAAATTGTTTATTCAATTAAATTGTCATTTTCACGCCTTAGAAGCAATTTTTTCTTTAGCTAATTGTTAATTTTAATTTTAGAAGTAATTTAAAAAAATTGCAAGTGGATCCAAGGTTGGAAAACAGTATATGTGACTGTCCACGAGAAAACAAGGCTTAGGTCCAAAAAATCAATTTTGATTTTTTTATGGTAATCGACAGATTTTATGTTGCTTTTTCAAATGCAAAAGTCAAAAGTTAAAAATATCAATTACTTTCGACAATATATCGTTTTAAAGATGGGTATGTTAAGCGTAGTTAACCTCAATCGTTGACTCTCCACGATAAAACACGGCTTAGGTCGAAAAAATCAATTTGAGTTTTTTATGGTAATCGACAGATTTTATGTTGCTTTTTCAAATGCAAAAGTCAGAAGTTAAAAATATCAATTACTTTCAACAATATATCGTTTTAAAGATGGGTATGTCAAGCGTAGTTAACTTCAATCGTAGTACTTCAATCGCTCGCCCTGTGAAATTCACGTTTGGGAGCTAAGCCTTGTTTTCTCGTGGACAGTCACATATTATTTTAAATTTTTTTCTAGGATCTTACAAAATTTTTAGAAATTTTAACTAAATGAATATTTCCTCGCCTCCGAAGTAATTTTTATCTTTTGATAATTGTTTATTTTTATGTTAGAAGCCATTTAAAAAAACTGGGCAAGTGCGAGTTTCACTTGCACTGAAATAGCGGATTCCGTACACTAATATTTTGATCATTTGGTACAATAGTACATTGCACAACTAGTAACGAAAGTGTAAAATTTATAAAAATTAAAACAAATATAAAAAATTAAGATAGGGGGTTGGCTTAACTTGATATCATCTAATGTTAAGTTAAAAATAATCATACGATTTTTTCCCGGACACAATTAATTTAAATTCGACAAGCGGTAAATTCAAGACACAGAGAATAACCCTATGAGTGCGGTTAAAGTGGTTATTCTACACTTCTAAAGCCGAAAACTTTTCTCTGCTTTCGCAACTTCAATTATTTTGCAAAATGATTAATGGGATTTGTTACGGATAAAAAACGGTAAATTCTTGCGAAAAAAATTATGCGAAATATATTGATTTAAGAGTTTTAAGGGGGTGCCCGGCTAACTTGACATCAAGTTAGCAGGGCACCCTGTATAAAAAAAAGATTTAAACAACAAAATTATTTCTTTCTTTTTGAATTTTGTAAAGTTGCACTGCTAACTTGATATACATCAACCGCCGAGGGATGAAGCTCGCGGTTGTAGTCATCAACCCGGAAGCGGCGAACAGGCTGGAGAAATTGGGACATATAAAAATTGATTTTATATGTTGCCCAATTAAAAAAAGAGTAATGTTATATTATGTACTTATGTATAAAACATATTCCATCTATTTATTTTTACACATAAAATTTATTTTATTAAAAATTGGTATGAGAAATAGCTATCTGTGCCTTCTTTTCAGATTGGCATTTATTAAAGTAAATTATGAAAATAGTTGCAAGATCGGTCTTTCTTGTCATTTCATATTCATTTTTTATCAATATTGACTAAAATTAGCTGCCACGATTCGCCACTGCTGTTTCGATATAATTTTTTGTATCCCCACTCTGTCATAGCCTTTAAATATCAAAGTGATAAAAGATAATATAATGAAACCAGCATCTCAAAAACATATATACACAAAGTTTGTTTATATTAATCGTTTCATTTTTCGAATTTTAGACAGGTTTTTGAAAAAAATTATCCGCCATTGTAAGTCTCGTAGTTTAATTTTTTGAATTTTGACAAAGTATTTCGTTAAATTGGCCAATGTGCAGCACCGTAAATTTTCTTAATGTTAAAATTAACTTGACTGCAACCTTGGAAATCATTAGATGCGAAGCTCATGAAACTTAAAATTCTTCTTTAAATGTCCGCTGTTATTCAATGTCTGACATAAAAGTTTAACTGAAAATTGCATGAGAGATCAAAAAATTTAAAACTTTAATGAAATAGTCAGTTAACTTTTGCGTCAAGCATTGAAAAACAGTCAACATTTAAAGAATTACTTCAATTTTAATGAGTTTCCCATCTAAAGATTCCGAAGATTGCAGTAAAGTTAATTTCTACCTTTAGAAAAGTTTTACTGCCGTGTTCGTTGGATCCGCCATTTTAAATTTTTTAAATCTGACTTCAGATTCGTAATCAGCAACCCCGAAAACCCTTACAAAAACATTGTCAGTAAAATCTGATAAATTTTTGACATTTTTTCTTATCAGTGCAGTGGCAGTGGACAACTATTAGCGGAGTAGATGGATGGTATTAGTCGAACACTACTCCTGAAAAGAAGTAGAGTAGTCCGATAAAAAATATTAATTTTTGACGATTTGACAGTTTTACCAAAAAATGTTTTTCTCTTATTTGTTAATAATAAAATTACTATTTTATTTTACAGTGACTACAATGTTAATTGCTGGCATGGCTGGTGTAGCAATTTATTTTGTAACATCATCACTACAAAATCTTATTGTTTCCTGTATATTTTCTGTTGCAATTGCAACAGCCAATTTTGCCCTAAGTGGTGCTGTGATTGACATTTTTCCAACTCACGTTGGTGCTATGGCTATTTGTTTATCCGTATGTTTTGGCAGAATAGGAGCAATACTCAGTAATTTAATTTTTGGAATGCTCTTAGATATTAGTTGTGACATTCCAATTTTTTTGGTTGCATCTATGGTTCTCCGTAAGTATTAAACATATGTAATCGAAGCTTTGCAAAATCTTACTTTTATATTAACAGTTTTTTCTATGTATAATTAAATTTTTATTTTTGTTAAACACAGTTGGTGGTTTTCTGGGATTCTTAATTCCTCAATCTAGACGTAGAATATAGTCTTTATTATTTTGTTTTACTCTATCGTCGGAAATTGGTAGTACGGCTATATGTGCACGGCCCAAACCATACTAATTTTCAAATCACTATTTATAAGTAAAAAAATGTCAGAAAATTTAAAAAATGCATCAGAAGAAAGCTTATAAAATTCTACGTTCAATGAAACAATATTGAAAATTTTAATACATTATACAAAGATTTTAGTGCTAAACAAGTTTGAAGAAAATAAAAATTTTTCATTTGACATTTTTTAACCTCTGGAGTATTTTTGAAAAATTGCAAAAAAAAATTAAAACATATAGGGGACATTCCACGTTAACTGTGTCAGAGCTCCAAACAGGGCCGGATTTACTTGACAGGGGGCCCTACGCAACCCTGGTAGGGGCCCCATGTAAGGAAAGGTTTTTTCAAAAATTTACCAAGTTTAAAATTTTAAGTAAAGTATATTTTATATTAGAATTAAGCACGCTACTTAAATTTCTAAACATTTAAAATTATTTTGCAAAATACTTTTTTCTTTAAAAATTTTTTCATTTTTTATAACAAATATTTTAGATGGTTGGGCCTTTATGCTGTGGGGGCCCATAGGCAGTTGCCTAGTTTGCCTCTGTATAAATCCGGCCCTGGCTTTAAACAAAAATTGCTCTAAAGGATTTAAATATTCTAGCGCTTAAAAGATTTCCACATTCGTGTACTTTAAGATGTCGATGGGCGTTTTAAAAAAAATTTCATTTTCGATTTCAACAGAACTGTCAAATGTCCAAAAAGTTTAAAATACCTACTTTTATGAATTAAATTATTCTGTAATTCATTCTTTAACAGTTTTTAGGGTCGCTGATTTCGAATAAGAAGTCACTTTTTACAAATTAAAAATGGCGGATCCAATATGGCCCATCGGCATCTGAAAGTACACGAATGTAAAAATCTTTTAAGCACTATAGAATGTTTAAATCCATCAAAGAAATTTTTGTTTGGATCTCTGTTCCTTGTTGACGTGGAATGTCCCACATATATCATCATTCAAATCTCATCTTTAATTTAAGACCAAAATAGTTAAACATTGTATTCCTTTTCAAACTTGTCAAGTGCTAAAATCATTTAATAATTTTTTTAAATTATCAATTGCGTATCATTAAACGTTAAATATTATAAGATTTCAAAAAATGATATATTTTAAATTTTTTTTGGCATTTGCTTCCCTAATAGCAACGGATATTCAGGGATATCCTACAGACGTCCGAATCACATCTGGAAATTTGGATATACCTAAGATATTGTTAAGAAAATTCCTTAATTTGGATATCCTTAAGACATCTCAGGACATCCTACGGATATAATAGATTCCAGATATGCTTAGTACATCCGTAGAATATCCGAATGTTGTTAGGGTTTACTTAAATATCGTGATTGAAAGACTAGTATATTTTTGGCCGCACTTCTGCAGCAGTACCGAGAATTTCTGATGATAGAGAATTCTATACGTCGGATAAGGGAAAACAACAACGTGTTTGCTACGATACAAGACGAGAAGACTCACGTGATTGATTGTCAGAATTGATAAAATATATTTTAACCATATATTTGTGAGTTAATCAAATTAATAATATAATGACATATTGTAAAACTTTAATATAGCTTCACTACTCTGAATTGTTATTTTTCAGATTAATATAATAAGGTGATTATATTATTAAAATTGTATCTTAAATTTCTATATGATAGTTAATAAAATTTCTGTTTTATAAGATATTTAAATATAATATATTACAGTATAATATTTGTATGCTCCACTTATTATGCTTGTTCATTTACATGAAAGCACAATAAAAGCGTGGAAGACGTACATTGAGAGCCAAAAATATTATTACTGAAAGAAAGTATTATAATTTTCTTTAAAATAAAGTTTTAGTGTGTTTCAAATTTAATTAAATTTTCTATTTAATTAAGAAAGAAAAAATCTCTTTTACAAGGGCGATTCTTCACTCAGCGCTCACTTTTACTTCCTCACTCTTCCCTATTTTTTTTTCTTCCCTATTTTTTTTTTATTTTATTTATTTCCCTATTTATTTATTTTTTTTATTTATTTATTTATTTTTTTTAAATTTTTTTTTATTTATTTATTTTTTTATTTATTTATTTTTTTTTATTTATTTATTTTTTTTTGTTTACCACCATGCTGCCCATCTTCAGTTTGAACGAAAATCATTGAAATACCACTTAAAATTTTCAGAAAAATGTCAACTTTTGAATGGTGAGTGGCAAAATTGTCCATTTTAAACGGTTCACTCTGAATCTGTCAATAAACGGAAAAAAGTCAAAAAAATAATTTGTTATTTAACTATGATGTTTGTTTAATTGGCCATAATATTTTTTTATAATCACTTTAGAGTCCCCTCTTCATGTCTACATTGTCATATGAGGCTAAATTAAATTTGAGGTTACAATATGGCCGTCAAAAGTGTCTTAAATTAACTATTTGCGATGTTTTTTCTGTGCAGCATTATTTCCAATAGCAAATAAACTTTCAAGGGTTTCTGGTCTTACCCATTACGTATATAACGCTATATGTTCAAAATTCAAAATGGCGGATGCAATATGGCGGACATGGATTTTGAAAAATAATTGTATTTGGTTGAAATTTATTAATCGGGGGTTTTCGAGATCGCTGATTACGATTCTGCAGTTTGTTTTCAAAAATTCAAAATGGAGGATTCAATATGGCGGACGATAAATTAAAAATTCATTAGATTCGTCTAAAAATTGTTACTCGAGGGTTTTTGGGGTCGCTTATTACGAATCCGATGTCAGTTTTCAAAAATGCAAAATGGTGGATCCAATATGGAGGACATAAATTGTAAAAAGTAATTGTATTTGCTGGAATTTAATTCACGGGGATTTTTCAAGTGGCTGATTACGAATATAATGTTAGCTTTTTAAATTCCAAACAACAGATACAATACGACTGATATTTTTTATTATTCAGCAGATTTAACTAAAAATTTTGATTTTGACAAGCTAATGAAATTTTTTTTCTAACTTTGTGCTTGGATTTTAATTTAAACTGGGATTTTACCAACTACTTTTACAAATCTTTATATGAAAGAACTGAAGAAGTACTGGCTTTCGAAAATCTTTTAATAACCAGTTTTCTGTTGACTGGTATGAAGCAGTGAATAATAAAAGCTGAATAATAAAAAATATCTGTCGTATTGTATCTGTTGTTTCGAATTTAAAAAAACTAGCACTATATTCGTAATCAGCCACTTGAAAAATCCCCGCAAATTAAATTCCAAGCAATTCAAACTGTTTTTAAAAATTTATGTCCGCCGTATTAGAACCACCATTTTGAATTTTTGAAAACAAACTCCAGGATCCTAATCAGCGACCTCAAAAACCCCCGAGTAACAAAATCCAAGCAAATACAATTATTTTTTTCAATTCATGTCCTTCATATTGGATCCGCCATTTTGAATTTTTGAAAACTGACATCGGATTCGTAATAAGCGACCCCAAAAACCCTCGAGTAACAATTTTTAGACGAATCTAATGAATTTTCAATTTATCGTCCTCCATATTGGATCCGCCATTTTGAATTTTTGAAAACAAACTTCAGGATCGGAATCAGCGATCTCGAAAACCCCCGATTAATAAATTTCAACCAAATACAATTATTTTTCAAAATCCATGTCCGCCATATTGCATCCGCCATTTTGAATTTTGAACATATAGCGTTATATACGTAATGGGTAAGACCAGAAACCCTTGAAAGTTTATTTGCTATTGGAAATAATGCTGCACAGAAATAACATCGCAATTAGTTAATTTAAGACACTTTTGACGGCCATATTATAACCTCAAATTTAATTTAGCCTCATATGACAATGTAGACATGAAGAGGGGACTCTAAAGTGATTATAAAAAAATTTTATGTCCAATTAAACAAACATTATAGTTAAATAACAAATTATTTTTTTGACTTTTTTCCGTTTATTGACAGATTCAGAGTGAACCGTTTAAAATGGACAATTTTGCCACTCACCATTCAAAAGTTGACATTTTTCTGAAAATTTTAAGTGGTATTTCAATGATTTTCGTTCAAACTGAAGATGGGCAGCATGGTGGTAAAGTTGAGAAAGAATGCACCTTATGTAAAATTATTCTTCACTATGGTTTTTAGTAATATCATAATCATGAAGTTTAATATGGTATATATATTTTTTTTTTGCTTAGGGAATTTTGGGAAATCTGCCTACAGATACCTTGGATTACGCACTCCAAGGTTATGTGGGGTTGGTATGATAAAACAAAAGGAAATACAAAAAAAGAAAAATAAGTATATAAAATAGTAAATTTATTAAACTGGCGACCTACTGCCAGCCCGACCCACTAAAACCCGTAACCCTTCTTCTGGAGCCCTTTACCCTCCCTCGAAACTGTCGTAAGACTTTAGCCTTCGAGGGTTAATATAGTATATTTAACATTAAGCTTAATTTAATAGCGTCCTTACTAATTCTACTTAAAAGTCATCTTAAAAATTAATTTTTTTATGTTGTTTTACAATTTTTTCATTAATAAATTTTTGTGAAAATAGTGTTTTAATACTTTCCCACTATTTTGTTATTCGGAACTTAAGTTTACTTGTTCTTGGATTTTTGTTATTTTTATACACATTATTAATTTCCTGTGTAAAATATTAACATTTGCATACATTATGACTATATGAATAATATAAACAAATAAAAAAAAGCAGTTTTCCATATTAAATGTTTATTTCAATGAAGTCAAATAATTTTTTTTTTATTGTTAAGTACTTAAATTCACTCATACAGATCATCTGAGTTGTGGATTGTGCTATAGAGCATATATTATTTGTTACAACAAAATTATTAATTTCTCGTTAACACTCATGAATCTCTATATAATTCCAATTTTTTATTTTCTAACAAATTTTGTTTGGTTAGGGTATTAAATTTTTAACTACAGATTATCTTTTTGACAATTCTAAAAAACATTGTAACCCTTTATGTCCATATATTTTAGAAACGTTTTATAGCACTAAAAGTATATAATAAATTAAATATATGCAAATATAAGATAACACAGCTCAACATAAAAATGAAAAAATTTTGCGCCTGGGTTCATATGATTTTTTATCCCACATGCACAAAAATGGCGCTTTTAGATAGCTGACGACAGGGTGTAAAGCCATTCATTTGTTCGATTGTATGAAAATGGTGGCCGTTTTCTCCCATGTAAAAAAATAACAGCTGATCCCATGCGTTATTTTTGCCCATGGGAGAAAAAGGCCACCCATTTTCATACAAGTCGAACAAGTGAATGACTTTTACTCCCTGTAGTCTGCTAACTGTAATCGCCACTTTTGTGCATTAGGAATAAAAAATATCGCAAGTAACACGTAAATAATGGCAGTCCAATTTATTTACTCGTTCCAGTCTCAGGGCGCCATCGACCTCCACTCGTGTCACAAAAATCACCGTAAATAAATGGCTGCCTTTATACCCTTGTTGCTTAATATACTATTCTATTTATTATTCACTAAAATAAAGGAAAAATATACATATTCTTTTTAAAGTTTGCTTTTGTAGTAGTTGCAGACATGTTAAAACACTTTAAAGCTATGAGCTGCAGGATCTCTTTGAAAGTACATATTCTACATGCTCGTTTAGATAAATTTAAACACAACCTGTGAGCATATTACGAAGAGCAAGGAGAACGTTTCTAAGATGTTTACATATTTCACTGTCACAGATATTGACTATTAATATCTAGATATCTAGATAATAAAGCCTAATATCCATTTTTCTTAGTGTAGTAATCAAAAACACAAACGTAAGAATAACAGAGTTTACTTTTAAACTTTTTTGTACTGTTTTGTAAGATATTATTATAATTGTTGCGAATAAAAGTCATACAAAAAGAAATTTTTTCAGAAGGAATGGCTTAAAATCATAAATTTTTAAAAATATGGTAAAATCGTTGATTATACGAGTGTGACGTTTGCAGCTCGAGCCGAAGGCGAGTGCTGCAAGTCACACAAGTATAATCTGATTTACGCACGAGTGTCATACAAAATTTTTTGCAACACTAAAACAACTAAACTTGCAGCAATATTGCCAATATTACTGTAACTTTAGGTGTAGTGGGGAACTGTTAAATGAAGTTTTCTAGAAGCTAAAATAAAAAAATGTGATTGTAAATTGTTAATTAAAAGCATTATTTCATTGTTTCTCATCAAACAGTCACAAGAATGCGTAAAGTAATCATTTTACGCACTGAAAATCACTTTACACACTGGAATTCACTTTACACACTGCTAGCGGTGTGTAAAGTAACACTTTACACACCGCTATAAAATGAAGTACTTTACACACAGTTTTCTGTGTGTAAAATTCAATTTTACAGGTTAGTGTTGCAAAAAATATCTTAAATGTCAGGCGCAAATTTCATGTTGACTTGTGTAATCGTATGTAAAATGTGTTAATATAAACGAGGTTTAATAGAAATAAATTCGTAGTGTTTTCAGGAATTAAATCCAGAATCCAGAATCCATTTTAGAATTCTATGTTTCATGATGATAAGTATTTTTCTTTAGATGTTCTATTTCTCAAACATTTTTTTGTTTCAAAATTTTATATCCCAGCCAGAGAATTCATCAGGTGGTAATTCGCGATCTGGTGGATACCTCTCAAAGTTTCTCGTATCGATGGAATTCCTTATCTAAAGAATAAGAACAGTTATAATAGATAAATTGGAAATTTATCTGATTAAATAATAATAATTGTGATTATTGATTTATATATTTTTAAAATGAAAATATTTCGACATTCACTATATTATTTAAATAATGTATCGAATAGGTAGAGAATATTGGCTTCAGAGGGGTTACTATGTAATTTTATTTCCCTTTAATTTTAATTAAAATTTATTGTGAATTTGGAGTCAAAATCAATAAGAAATGTAAATGAATCTATATTATATTAACTAAGTATGTATATGTATTATATTTTTTCTTTTTTATAATTCTTGAGATGTATTTTTATGTATTGACGGATCTTCATATATTTGAAAAATTACATTCCATAGTTTTAAAATTACTTACTGTTGGTACAATAGGTGCGGGCAGAGATAATCTTTGTAAAGCTGACCAATTAAAATTCGAGAACCATCTGTAATATAAATTAAAATACATTTGCAATGCAAAATTGTTCGTAAAATGAGCCGTAGCTCGTGCACTGGCGAGTTTGGAAGATATTTTGCGATAAATTTTGTAGAGTTTTCGAAAACTTTTAAAATATCTGTTAAACAATAGTTTAACTCCAATTGAAGTTGGTAACAGTTTATTATACTTTTTAATATTATATCCTTATTATATTTTTTTAATTTTATTTATTAATTTTACACTTAAAAAAATCCTTAGCTGATTAAAAACTGTTAAACTGTTACCAAATCGAATTGGAGTTGGTAACAGTTTAACAGTTTTTTAAAAGTTATCGAAGACTCTACAAAAATATTGGGAACGGTGGTCTAGTAACAATTTAGTGACTTTAGACCGATCTCTTCCTCCATTTTGTTTTTCTACTCTTTCTAACCTATTAATAAAAGATGGACAAAGAAAGAAAATGGAGAGAGAGATCGGTCCCTCGCCAGATGGCATATTGCAGTTTAGCCTAGCCGTTCCCAATATAATGAGGAATGTTTGCGGAAGTTCCGTATGGAAATCTTTACAGAATTTCCGTAGAATCGTTCCACGTGGGACGTACAAGAACAGCCCATTTCCTCTTCTTCTTTTCAATTTAATATGTCCGTTTTACTTAATTTTATATTGTTTAATTTAATTTTTTATTTAAAATTAATTGAATTTTTTGTTTGCTTTCTAATTTACATTGAAAATACATAATCATATCAGATTACATCTAAAACATACTTTTCTGTAAAGTTGTTAAAATTTTTTTAAACAATTGTTTCTTGTAATGAATATTAATAATATTAACGTTTTATTACATATGACCTTTAATGAATTGAGTTTTTGAATGGATGTCAAAGTCATTCTGATTTTTCGCATGCAGATTCAATGAAAACATCATTACAATTGTTACTTGCCCTTAATTGTTTATTGCAAAATATAAAAAACTGTTCCTACAACTTTCGTACACTTCGTGCTTATCAAGAAGTAAACATTTATTGTAAAAAGTGATTCAAAAATCACATGAGGAGGTGCATTTTGCCTTGTATTGGTCAAATTGAAGTAAGACTTGAGAAGTGAAGCAATTCTTGAAAGGGCATGCCCCAGCACTCTCTACTAACTCTTTGCGTCAATCGCGAACAAACAGATTGATCATTTAAATTCAGAATTGATGCGTTTACGTCAAATAAATCAAGTTCAAATGGAACAATTTAACGCGGAAGTAGAAAATCCACATTGACTCAATATAGCTCAAAATGATCAGTTGGTTCAGTTGCGAAGGAAATCTCCTTAAGTATCTGTCAATAATGGTGAGAAATTGATTTAAGCTTTAATTGATGCTTTACGCGCAACTCGTATTAAAATGAATTCACCAACTTTCGATGATTTACGGAGTCCTTGTGAATTATTAGAAAAATTAAATTAAATGTAAATTTATGAATGAATTTTATGCTATTCCAGTTCGTGCACGGATCAAGGAAAATTAATCTGCGAAACGTATTGATCCGACTAAGGATCGATAGCATTTATTTCCTAAGTGGAGTGAGAAATCCTTGTTACAATTTATTTTGCGGATTTCTAAAAAATTTTACAATCATTGGTGCAGATAGATTTGATGTTGGAGAATAAGCAAAATAATTCAAAAAAATTTATAAATAGGAATTTTTAAATTCCAATATACTTTTCAGAAAAAGCTTCATTTAAAGCCTGTAGAAAAACATAGACTGCTAGGGGAGAGTGGTCCTAAGTTTGCCGCCTAAGCAAATTGGTCGAAAATAGTAACAAAATGAAATTTAATCACTTCGGCAAGTATATATTAGTGTTCAGAGATCGTTTTGCTATAATTTTGTGGTATTTAGAACGTTATAGAATGACTTTTGTAGTCTTAATACAATAAATCGTGAAAAGCTGCATTTTGGACATTTCAGAAATAGCGGTCCTAAGTTGGCCACCCCCTGGTCCTAAGTTGGCCACCACTTTTTTTCGCTTGAGTATAAGGAAGAAATGCATATTCTTTTCAATTACGCAGAAATTTTACAAATTTGATACATTTAGGAGAATAAAAACGCATTATTTAACTATTTTTGTTTAGAAAATGAAGCAATATTTTATTTCATTTATTTACAGTGGTGGATGGCTGTAGAGACAGGCGTTTTTGTACTTCATTTTTTCTAATGTTTTTTAAACCATTTTTTTTTGTTTTTTGTCTTTGTTTAATTCCTACGTTACACTTTTACGGTCTTTCTCGTGATAAAAAACACAAAAAAGAAATAAAACATAAATAAAAACAAACAAAAACAATAGGTGGCCAACTTAGGACCACTGTAGATTTTTACAAGTTTCAAATTATTACGCTAATAAAAAAAATTTATTTAAAAAATCAACAGAACCTCTTATTACAACATTAAATAAAGGAACTAGCGCACACACTTATTTAGAAATTTTTAATTATTTATCTCTTGTAGCTGCTCTCGAAAAAACAAGAAAAATCAAATTTTTTTGGTCAAAAACAATATTATTGTCCTCACAATGCGTAGAAGAATCTTAGATTATAATTAGGTCCATAAATTATATCATGGTTTATCAATATATCATACCACAAAATTATAGATTCGTCCAGTATACCATCTCTGAGAAATGCAGGGTGGCCAACTTAGGCCCACGGCCAACTTAGGACCACTCTCCCCTATAGCATAATGTTTCATACAATCTTAAATAGTAACCAATGTTTTATGATGAATGACCATATTTTCCAGATAGTAAAAAACGATAGGAAAATGGCACTTGGTTATAATTAACATGGAATCCTGGAACTGCATCTTGCATGATGAATGCGTAATTTTCAGCAAAATCCACACAATTAAACTTTCGTCATCTTTCAGATTTTGTTTGACACTTTTATTGGGAATTGACATAGATCGGACGCCAACTGGTGGCGGAAAATCAAACTACTTAAATACCCCGATTCTATCAAAGTTAACAGTGTCAAATGTAAATATATTTAATTTTTAAAAAATGGAAGGTGTAAAGCTAGTAAATCGTTCTAAAACTTCTTATCGGAATAATTGTTCAGTTCCTGGATGTAACAGTAATGTAAAAAAAGACTTATTACTATCTCTACATAGATTTCCAAAACCAAATTATTGCATGGTAAAAGTTGAATATTTTTTTAGAAAAGTGGAAAAAATTGATAAATTAAAGGCTTGGAAAATCACTGTGAAATTAAATAAAGTTACAATCAAGAAAAAAGTGTGCTTTTTTGTTTTTTAATTATTTACAGTTATTTACAGTTGAAAATTGTTTTAGGAAAACTTAACCCTTTAAGGACCAAATGTAAAAAAATTTTATCCGAAATTTGGGAGAAATTTTTAGTATGAAAACAGACTGCTAAAAATTTTGCAATAGACATTTCTTAAAGCTCAGGAACCGCTCTTTCGAATGCTGCAATAAAAAATATTAAAAATTTATAAATAAACAAATTACATACAGTTATTTAAAAAAACACAATTTTTTAAAGATTTTTTTTTGAAAATCAAATTTTTTTTATTATTTATAGCAAACGAATACGTCTCAAAGGTAAAAATATCGCGTAAAAATGTCTAACCTAAAATGTTGAAAAATAAAAAATAAAAAAAAACAAAATAGCGAATCCAAAATGGCGTTCAAAGTTGACTTTTTAATAAATAATATACAGCAAGTGCACATTTTTTTAAAAACCTCACAGATTCGCTTAAAACTGGTTAATCGGGGGTTTTTGGGGTCCCTGAATACGAATATGATAATAGTTTTTTAAAAATTCAAAATGGCGAATCCAATATGGCGGACACATTTTTCAAAATTTCATCGGATTCGCTTGAAACTGGTTACTCGTAGGTTTTTAAGGTCGCTGATTACGAATATGATAATAGTTTTCAAAAATTCAAAATGGCGAATCCAATATGGCGGACAATTTTTCAAAACTTTATCGGATTCGCTTAAAACTGGTTACTCGGAGGTTCTTGGGGTCTCTAATTACGAATATGATAGTAGTTTTCAATAATTTAAAATAGCGATTCAATATGGCGGATACTTTTTCTAAAACTTCATCAGTTTCACTTGAAACTAATTACTTGGGGGTTCTTGGTGTCTCTAATTACGAATATTATAGTAGTTTTCAAAAATATAAAATGGTGATTCAATATGGCGGATACTTTTTCTAAAACTTCATTGGATTCACTTGAAACTAATTACTCGGGGGTTCTTGGGGTCTCTAATTACAAATATTATAGTAATTTTTAAAAAATATAAAATGGTGATTCAATAGGGCGGATACTTTTTTAAAACTTCATCGGATTCACTTGAAACTAATTACTCTGGGGTTCTTGGGGTATCTAATTACGAATATGATTGTAGTTTTTAAAAATTTAAAATGACAATTCAATATGGCGGATACTTTTTCTAAAACTTCATCGGATTCACGTGAAACTAAATGCTCGGGGGTTCTTGGGGTCTCTAATTACGAATATGAGAGTAGTTTTCAAAAAATAAAAATTTCGGAGCATATACATTATTCAGGTTAGAAATTATAAAACTTTAAACGAATTCAATATGACGGATACTTTTTTAAAAATTTTATCGGATTCGGTTGAAACTGGTTACTCGTGGGTTCTTGGGGTCTCTAATTACGAATATAATAGTAGTTTTCAAAAATTTAAAATGGCGAATTCAATATGGCGGATACATTTCTAAGACTTTATCGGATTCACTTGAAACTGATTAGGAGGGGTTCTTGGGATCTCTGATTACGAATATGATAGTAGTTTTTAAAAAATAAAAATTGCGGAGCATATACATTATTCAGGCTAGTAATTATAAAAATTTAAACCGTTTTTTGCTTGAAAATAATTTGTGTAAAATATAATAGTAATGTTAAACTTAATAATAATAATGCTAATCATAACTATTTCTTTGTTATAATAATAATACTAATAGGAACTATTTTTTGTTATAATCGAGTTTTTTCTGTCTTTGAAGCCTCATAATTAAAGATTAATTATGTTTAAGGGGTAAATTTTCTCGAGTGTACCAATGTCAAAATTGCAAGTTGTTGGATCGGGCTAATATTAATTAACCACCAAGTAATATAAGATTTTATAAAAAATTGTAGAGAGGGGAAGGGGGTTAAAGATTTTGGATGAGTAAGAACAGTGAGTTTTCTAAAAAATCGTAGCTTCTATACAATAAAGTAAAAAAAATTGTACATATGTTTTTAGTATAAAAGTTTTTTTAATTTTTTTCAAGAAGGACTCTTTTTTTCTTTTTTTGTACCAAAAGAAAGCTTAAGATGTGTATTAATAAAAATTGTATTAAAAAAAATTGAAATATTTTACAACAAAATAAAGTTAACGCAATTCTGAAGTTACTACTGTAAAACATTACAAAATCCGCATCCAACAAGTCCAATATTAACTATTTTGGATAAATTTACGTTTTATAAATAATTATTAATAAAAATTAATTAACAAATGAATATCATTTATAAAAATAAAGATAAAGTGTTAGTTTTTTTAAACAATTGTTTATACAATTCTACTTTAACCCTCACAGGCTCGAGTTCGATTTTTGAAATGCGCGCACAAGGTGGGTCCGAGGGACCCGGATGTATTTCAATTTTCAATGCAATAAAAAATAAAATTTAATAGCAAAGTGCTTCATATTTTCCATATTTAATACAATTTTAATGATATAATTGCATACAAGATTTTAAATATTAAAAAGTAATCAAGTTATAACTAAAATTTGTTTAATAAATTTAATGAGTCATTTTGAGTAAATCGAACTACATACTTATTAAAGAAGATTTTTTTAATTTGTATTTTTTGTTCAATTAAATTTATCGATGTATGAAGCATATGTTATCACTTATTATGTCAGTTATTGATAAAAATACCATAAATAAATCCAATGTTGCATAAAAATTGCAAATTTAAATTTTTTTTCATAGCATGGGTCCCTCGGAGCCGGGTTGAGCTTTAACGTATGTTCGACTTAAAAGGTAATTTACCAGAATATTTTATAAATAAAAAATTTGTTTATGTTGATGAAAAATGTGTGTTTTTACGTCCCCAAGCCTAATGTGAAGTTGATTTTCCAATAATATTTTCTTAACCGGAAGTAGATCAAAAAAACTTTCCTCCGGGTCCGAGGGACCCGGCTCGAGCCCGTGAGGGTTAAAAAAATGTATTCCAGTTATTTACGTCGATTGTTTAAATCCGATGAAGTTTTAAAAAAAGTATCCACCATATTGAATTCGTTTAATATTTTATAATTTCTAACCTGAATAATGTTTTATGCTCCGAAATTTTTATTTTTTAAAAACTACTATCATATTCGTAATTAGAGACCCCAAGAACCCCCGAGTAATTAGTTTCAAGTGAATCCGATTAAGATTTAAAAAAAGTATAAGCCATATTGGATTTGCCATTTTGAATTTTTTAAAACTATTATCATATTCGTAATCAGCGACCTCAAGAACCCCTCCTAATCAGTTTCAATTGAATCTGATGAAGTTTTGAAAAAGTGTCCGCCATATTGAATTCGTCATTTTAAATTTTTAAAAACTTTTATCATATTCGTAATCAGCGACCCCAAAAACCCTTGAGTAACCAGTTTCAAGCGAATCCGATGAAATTTTTATAAAAGTATCCGCCATATTGAATTCGTTTAAATTTTTATAATTTCTAACCTGAATAATGTATATGCTCCAAAATTTTTATTTTTTTAAAACTACTATCATATTCGTAATTAGAGACCCCAAGAACCCACGAGTAATTAGTTTCAAGTGAATCCGATGAAGTTTTTAAAAAAGTATCAGCCATATTGGATTCGACATTTTGAATTTTAAAAAACTATTATCATATTCGTAATCAGCGACCCCAAGAACCCCTCCTAAGCAGTTTCAATTGAATCCGATGAAGTTTTGAAAAAGTGTCTGCCATATTGAATTCATCATTTTGAATTTTTGAAAACTATTATCATATTCGTAATCAGCGACCTTAAAAACTCACGAGTAACCAGTTTCAAGCGAATCCGATGAAATTTTGAAAAAAGTGTCCGACATATTGTATTCGCCATTTTGAATTTGTAAAAACTATTATCATATTCGTAATCAGCGACCCCAAAAACCCTTGAGTAACCAGTTTCAAGCGAAGCTGTGAGGTTTTTAAAAAAATGTGCACTTGCTGTATATTATTTCTTAAAAAGTCAACTTTGAACGCCATTTTTGATCCGCCATTTTGTTTTTTTTAATTTTTATTTTACAAAATTTTAGGTTAGACATTTTTGGTGCGATATTTTTACCTTTGAGACGTATTCCTTACGTCGAGGTATAGTGATGTGCACCGTCGATTATTGTCGGGTACACACCATTAGAACTCGACTGTCGATAAACTCAGGAAAGGTTTTCTACAGTTTTCCTCTCCACTGGTAAGAAACCCCATTAGACGGGTGGTCCAGGCAAATGCGAGTACTCCTAATTTTTAAGTCGCTCTGTAGGCGCAAATCTTAGTATTAGGAAATGTATATAAGAAATTATTGTAAGAGAAACACTTGTATAGCCAAGTATGTAAGGCTGAAGACAGGTGGATCCAACATGGCGGACGAAATATTTAAAAATATTTGGATTCGCTTAAAATTTGTTACTGGGGGGGTTTTCAGGGTCGCTGATTAGGAATCCAAAGTCAGATTTTGAAAATTCAAAATGGCGGATCCAATATGGCGGATAAAATTCAATAGGGCAAATAAAATTGTTGAAAACTAATTGGATTCACTTGAAAATTGTTGGATTGGCGGATCCAATATGGCTGATGGCTTTTCTAAAAATGGATTAGATTTGCCTGAAACTCGTTACTCGGGGGTTTATGGGGTCGCTGATTATGAATCGGTAATCAGATTTCAAAAATTCAAAATTGCAGTATCAATATAGCAAATATTTTTTAAAAAAATGGATTGTATTCGCGTAACATTTTTGTTTTCATTCATAACGTTTCCTTGCCGTGAGTTTTTTAATTTCAACTGACGTTGCCCGATTCTTACCGCGTGGAGGTGAACGTAAGAAAAGAGTCTTGTTTTTTTTGTTTTTGTTTTTTTATTTATAAAATGTTTAAAAGCTTGCTTAAAAATCTAAAATAAAATTTAAAATATCATGTGTGAAATTTTGCAAAACAGTCTTTGCAAAATGATTTGTGACAATTTTCACAACATAAATATGTTCTAATTTTGCAAGTGTCACTTGAGGAGTATTTTCTCTTTTTTTGGCTATTTATTGTATGGTTTTTTAATGCACTAGTGCTTTCTTTTTTTAAATAGCTTCTTGCTATATCGATTGCAAAATTTTTAGCAGACACTTTTTTATCATTTTATTGCACTGTATTGAATAGAATAACTGCATTTGCAATGGACGATTGAACTAGGCGCATCAATATTACCCAAGTCCATTTTTTGCTTTTAAAAATTGGTAATAAAGTACCACAATACTGATCGTGTATGTCGACCCCGCCCATATATTTATTGTAAATGGCAAACGCAAGCGGCGTTTCAATATCATCTTTACTTCTTTTATCTTTTGAGTAGCGTTTAACATTTTGTATTGGACTGACACCAGCAGCAGTTGAAAGTAGCGATACTTCTGTCGAATCCATTAAAGTAATATAATTAAGGCCACTATTTTTCTCTTGTTTTACTTTCATTGTTCCTCGTGGAACATTTTTCTCCAACTTATTTTTCTCTTTAACTCGATTTTGTCTCACAGTTCCAGTAGCTTTTAAACCAATTTTGTGCAAATGAATGATCAAATCTGGACACGAAAATAAATTATCGAAGTACAGATGATATTGCTCCAGTTTTCGTCGAGATGTTTCCAATAGCAAATTTTCTGTCATATTTATGACTACTCTACTTCCTAAAGCTCAATTTGCTAAAATTTCATCTTTTTTCGAATTCTTTCCGCAGTAAATGTCGCATTCGTACAGATATCCATCAGAGCCACACAGAGCCCACAAAATTTAATGCCAAATCGAACTGGCTTATTTCTGATGAATTGCCTAAAGTGTAAACGCCCTTTAAATTTTACCATAATTTCGTCAACGGCAAGTGCGGTTTGAAAATAGCCATAGTGCTTTGTGTTGCTTTTAAATAACTCCAAAATCTTTCTTACTCTCCAAGAAGAATCTTCTACATTTTCATCCTTTTTTTTTGCACATTTTAATCCTGATTTTATATCTGAAAAACGATTTCGAGACATTAATGAGCTAACAATGGGACATTCTAACAACGGATCAGTGGACCAAAAATCTCTTTCGGACGTACGTTTATTAAAAGTTGATAAAATTATTATGCCTATAAAAATTTCTAACTCGGATAATGTAAGTATTAACCTATTTTCACTTGAAGCCTCTATGATATATTCTTTTATAGTCTTTGAGAAGAACAATTCAAAAATTTTGGTTGCAGAACTCTCAAAATTTTTTTTGTCTTTATCTTTTAATAAATTTTCATTTTTGAGATTGTAGTTATGAGGTTGTTCTCCATCAGCCCAATTGTATTGATGACTAATTTCCAAAAAAAAATTTATTCTTAAAGTAATGGTTTTGAACCTGTCTGTACGACATTATAGTCTGCTCATTAATAGAATCATTTTCTCTGTCGCTATCTTCATCACTGTTATCGTCTACATCATCAACATCAGAATTATTTGCATCAGGTATTATAGCAATATCAATGCACTTATCATTTTCAAAAACCTCTTTGGAACCATTTTCAGAAATACCATTTTGAACATTTTCAATACCACTAGGCTTCTGACGAGGCATTGCGGAAAATATGCAATGAGAATTATTTACTTACCTCAATAAACAATCTGAATAATACATAAAGAAATAATATTATGCAACAATGAACAGCACTCTAAAAAAACAAATGACTAGAGTTGTGCAAAAAGCTTGAAGCTCGATCGAGCTTTTTATTTTTCGAGCCGAGCCGAGCCTAATCAGTTCGAGCTCGAGCCGAGCTGTGTAAAAAGCTCGAATAGTTTCGAGTACTCGAATTTATTCGAGTACTAGAACGTTTCAAGTACTCGAGTTTATTCGAGTACTCGAATTTTTCGAGCACTCGAGGGAATTCGAGTACTTGATTTAATTCGAGTACTTGAATTTTTTCGAGCTCTTGAGTAAATACGAGTTTTAGAGAAAATTCATATAATTTTCGCATATATTATATTAAGCAAATAGAAATACACTTTGAAATTAAAGATTTTTTTACTTTATTGATTCAGTAATTCGAATAAATTCAAAATTTTCTACTTATTAATAGTTTTTTTAGTAAGTTAAAAGCTTCATTCCATTCGAGTACTTGATTTGACTCGAGCATTCGAGTGACTTCGAGTACTCGAGTACTCGGAAATTTCGAGTAATCGATACATCGATCCGTCTTGGGCTTGGCTCGGCTCGACATTTCGAGCTTTTTGCACATCTCTACAAATGACTATCACAAGCTTTACAACAATACACTAACACTCGAATACATCAAAATATTTAAAAAAGAAAATATAATTATAAATAACTTTTGTGAAATCGAGTAACATAATTATAAACAAATAATATTATGTATTATAATAATAATCATCTATAAATTTTTAATTTTTGTCCAAGAAAAATAACTTTCTTTGGCAATGTTGTAGCCCTGGACAATACTTTCAAGAAAGCATTTCGAATTTTTCGCTAAATTTTGTTTCTTAAAAATTATAACTGAAAAATAGAAACCGTCTCAACGTCCGTACTTCTCCCCTATATATTAACCCCTTGGCAGTCAATGACGTGTATACACGTCATGGTACAGGTGGGCTCAAACTGTCGATGACGTGTATAGACGCAAGCAGATTTTTGGCTACAAAAACACACAGATTTGTCCACAAATTTATACTCGGGGGTTTTCGGGGTCGCTGATTACGAATACGTTTTCAGATTTTAAAAATTCAAAATAGCGGATGACTTTTTCAAAAATTCATCGGATTCACTTGAAACTTGTTACTCAGGGGTTTTTTGGGTCGCTGATTACGAATCCGATATCAGATTTTGAAAATTCAAAATGGCTGATCCAATACGGCGGACATTTTCAAAAATTCATCGGATTCACTTGAAACTTGTTACTCAGAGGTTTTCGGGGTCGCTGATTACAAATCTGATATCAGATCTTGAAAATTCAAAATGACGGATCCAATATGGCAAATGACATTTTCTAAAATTCATCGGATTCACTTGAAACTTTTTACTCGGGGGTTTTCAGGGTCGCTGATTACAAATCCAAATTCAGATTTTAAAATTCAAAATGGCGGATCCATTATAGCGGATGACATTTTCAAAAACTCGTCCGATTCATTTCAAACTCGTTACTCGGGGGGTTTTTAGGGTCGCTGATTACGAATCCGATTTCAGATTTTAAAATTTCAAAATGGCGGATTCAATATAGCGGACGACATTTTTACAAACTCGTTCGATTCATTTAAAACTCGTTTCTTGGCGGTTTTCGGGGTCGCTGATAACGAATCTAGCAATGTGGCGTTTTGAATATGTCTGGCGCCATTTTAAAAAATTTATCAGATTTACTTAAAAGTTGTTACTTGGGATTTATTGATGTCGTAGATTAAAAATGTAATATCGGTTTTAAAAATGGCGGGTCCAATATAAGAACAAAAAAAATATAACAAAATAAAATAAATAAAGGATTGTAAAATCCGACCGCATACCTCCACGTGGGAAACTCTGGGGTCGTAAGTAACGTAGCATACTTAACAGCTGACTGCGGGGGAAAATTTTGAATTTATTATCGTTTCAAAAGTTTTTCGTAATCAGCGAAAGCTCTCTAGTAACGAATTTCAAATAAATCCGATAAATTTTAGAAAATTTCATTTGCCATATTGGATCCGCTATTTTAAATTTTTAAAATCTGAAATTGGATTCGTAATCAGCGACCCCGAAAACTCCCGAGTAAAAAGTTTTAAGTGAATCCAATGAATTTTAGAAAATTTCGTCCGCTATATTGGATCCGCTATTTTGAATTTTTAAAATCTGAAATCGGATTCGTAATCAGCGACCCCGAAAACCTCAGAGTAACAAGTTTCAAGTGAATTCAGTCGATTTTTAATTTTCATGTCCGCCATATTGGATCCGCCATTTTAAATTTTCAAAATCTGATATCGGATCCGTAATCAGCGACTTCAAATACAATAATATGCTCGTTTGCGCAAATTTCAGTTTTCTAAAAAGTTGTCGACATTTTGAGCCCACTTATGAGATTTTTGTCTTGACTGCGAAGGGGTTAAAAAGGAAAATGTAAGGTATTATTTTAAGGTGTATCATTAAAAAAAACAAAAAATTTCTTTTATTATTGCAATATTCGGAATTGGAAGACTCAATATTTCAAGCGCTTGCAGGGCAATACCCTCTCATCATTGCAAGATGACGTCAGCTCACGTCATCAACTGTCAGTACTTACAGTTGGGCAGCAATGAAGGATCCAAATGAGAGAGGGCTTTATGTGCAACCAAAAAGAATATACCTATGCTCATTCCTGGAAAGCTAAAAATTAGGCGTGGTATAAGTGTCTTGCATTTACGAGAGGTCAAGAGTAAAAAATTTTCACGACTCTTGAAATGATGAGACACGACTGTATTTGTAACATATTTAAATTCCATTCAAATCGGTTTAGTACTTTCCGAAAAAATAGTATATTAAGCAACAAGAGGATAAAGGCAGCCACTTCTTTACGGTGATTTTTGTGACACGAGTGGAGGTCGAGGGCGCTGAGGGCCCCAAGACCGGAACAAGTGTCACAAAAATCAGCGTAAAGAAATTGGCTGTCTTTATTCTCGTGTTACTTACGATATTTTTTATTCCTAATGCACAAAAGTGTCGATTTCAGATAGCAGACGACAGGGAGTAAAAGTCATTCACTTGTTCGACTTGTATGAAAATGGCGGCCGTTTTCATACGGTCGAAGAAATGAATGACTTTCCTCCCAGTCGTCTGCTATCAGAAGGCGCCATTTTTGTGTATGTGGGATAAAAAAGAGTTTTTTTATTTTTCTTACTCCCTCCATAGCTCTTAAAGTTTAAAATAATCTTCCCAATACGCGATTTTTATTTAAGTTAAAATCAATTCTGTAGGTAGTGTGGAAAGGTTTTATGCAAAAATTGGAGTAGTAGAGCTATAGGGGTACTGCCCCAGGTACTGATCTCGGCTAAGTACACTCGATTGGTAATGCAGATTCCTATTTTATCAGTTGTTGTTTCGCGCGTTACCGGAGGTGAGCTTGTTATCAGCGGTGAGCTCGTTGCCGGGGGTGAGCTCACAGTAGTTCAAGTCAACCGCCACACGTAGCAGAGTGGTGAGCGCGCGTAGTGGGGGAACCGCTTGGTGGGGAGAGATACCTACGAGGGTGACTAGCACACAGTAGAGAGCTCATTTAGCTCATAGCAGCGGAGTGAGCAAACTACAATGAAACCGAGCTGCCGGTGCTACCACTGCGTCGTGAGGATGGTGTCCGAGTATAATGTGAGTAATATAATATAATATAATATAATATAATATAATATAATATAATATAATATAATATAATATAATATAATATAATATGATATAATATAATATAATATAATATGATATAATATAATATAATATAATATAATATAATATAATATAATATAATATAATATAATATAATATAATATAATATAATATAATATAATATAATATAATATAATATAATATAATATAATATAATATAATATAATATATTTTTTAGTTGGAGCATGAAGGTAACGAGGTGCCATTCCCCGCAACTCCTCCAGGGCCGACCCAGTCACCGTGGCACCAGGTGGTGAATCCACTACCACCTTCGGCGGAAGTCGGGACGCCACCGCAGTCACCTCTGCATGAGATGGCACTCCAGTCGCGTCCATTTTCACCGCCGTGGATGCTGGTGGAGAGACCACCGACACCGCTGCCCAGGTCACCGACACGTCAACCCAGGATGGAACCGGAGTCTCCCCCACTCTTTATTCAGTTGGGCACTTCACCCAGGTCGCCGACACCGTTGGAATGGCTGCCTACAACCCCGCCAGGAAGTCCGCCACGGTGTAGGTCACCGATACCTAGGGCGCAGTCTCCCGAGCCCAGGGTAAAAGAAAGAGAGCCGGCGGGATCTCCACCAGAGGCGCAGCCGCCGCCCGCTCACTGTCGGCGTCGGCGCTTTATTTTAAATTTGAATTTAAATTTTATTTTTAAAAATTAATAAATTTTTTATTTTTTTGTCAATTAGTATATTTATTTTGTGAATCCTATATTGAAATTGTTATGTCTGCGTTAGAGTAAGAGTATTGCGCATGCGTGAAAAGGTGGGGAAAAAATTTAAGAGTGGGATATGCGTGAAATGTTGGA